CCTCTTTGGGCAATCTGTTCTGATGTCTGACTATCCTAGCAGTGAAAAATTTTTTTTCTAATATCTAATCTGAATCTCCCCTGTCTCACCTTAAGGCCATTTCCTCTTGTCCTCTCACTGCAGGCACAGCAGAAGAGACTGGCCCCATCTTGCTATAACCTCCTTTCAGGTAGTTGTAGAGAGCAATGAGGTGCCCTCGAGCCACCTCTTCTGCAGACTAAATAAACCCAGCTCCCCTGGTGGTTCCTCACAAGAAATGTGTTCCAGACCCTTCACAAGTCTTGTTGCTCTTCTCTGGTGTGTTCTTTTCCACTCACCATGTAAAAAACTCTTTTCCAAAGACGCCTTTTCTACTTTCCAAGCTTTGCACCCCATGTTGAAAGTAAATACCTTAGATAAGGCTAACACTCCTCAGGCATGATTAAAAAGTCCTAACTAACCTAAACTCCTCCACACTCTCATAGGTACCAAATTTCCTCCTTTACACTAAAAAGCTCCCTTTCAGACAGAAACATTTCTCAAGTATAATGAAACAGCATATGCAAAGCAAACGTTTCAGGCCTATCCACCGGTGCTTTAGGTTCCTCATCCCTTTGCTCTGCCAGTTGTCAGTCAGACTCTTTTTCTAGTCTGTCTTTCCTTCCCCTGAGGAATTTTTGTGGTGGGAGAAGGTGCCAGAGATTTGCTTTCACTTTGGGCCTCAGCCACCAGCATTACCCAAACTTAATGTATATTTAATATGATACAGCCAGTAACCCTTTCTGCCAACCTCTGATCATGCGCCAGCTGAAGAATGCTGCAAAGTAATGTCTTCTAACTGAATCTCAAAGCCCATGTATAAACTCCTGATTAGTGGTGGGTGAGATTACCAGGAATGTATGTATATACCCCTCTGTTTCTATGCCAACTGGAATTTCTCCATGCTGTAGGATATCTATGGAAGCAGGCTCCAGAGAGCCTTATGTTTTTGCAGTATGTGTTTAAGGCAAAGCTACTGGAGGGTTTTTCCTGGTAGCTTCACTTCCTGACTCAAGAAGTCATGTAACACTTCTATGCATGGTTAATTGATGGTCACGATTTACTGGGTAAATGATGACATTTCAGTGATGGGTGTAAGGAGATCTTCATGCGTGTGGTTGTACATGGAAGAATTAAATGTTTTAGGTTTTTTCAGGAATATGCTATCATTTCCATGGAAGCTTGCTTTGATTTGTTTTCTTCTTCCTTCACAGATCATCAGAGATAAGGAAGACTTAGGGTAATGAAGTTTTTCTTCTTGGAAGGTCTTTCTCTTTTTTCTTTTTTTTTTCTCCCCCCGCTAGCCTTTCTTGAAGTGGTTAAATAAGGTTTACATTCACCAGGTAGTACAAAGATCAAAATGTTAAGGGAACAAAAGGGAAATGATTGAGAAGGTCTTTCTGAGGATGACAGCTCTGCATTGTAATACAACACTGTTTCTCATGGGAGTGGGTGGGAGGCCAGCCTAAATTTCCTCTTCCTGTCCTGCCAAATTCCCCAAATTGCATAACTGTGTATTCTCCTTACACAGTGGTACCCTTGGCATCCCTAGCAAATCTGCAGGGAAGCAGTGAAGCAGCTGGAGACTTGAAGGTGGACCAAAATTGGTAGAGGACAGACTTGGTTAACCAAAAAACAAAACAAACCCAAACCCACAAACTGAATTTACTAACTCTCCCATGTATAACAGAACAACACAGTACAGATTTAATAACATACACTATTTTGTTCTAAATGCACTCCATCTAGGAAAAATAAGTTTATCAGGATAAGCAAAGGACCCATGGGGAGTTCATCAGTTCAGTTTCAAGTCACAAGATGTGTTTTACTTGGCTTTGGAACCTTCTTGTGTAAGATTAATACAAAACTGCTGAAATGCAAACTGACAAAAAGACATATTTTTACTGGTTGGTGCTTTTTCCTCTGTGCCATTATTTTCATCAGGAGGCCCCATTGCTGCCTTTCCCATCACTGCTGCCTTAGACTGACAGGAGTATGAGGTACTTCTTGGCTTCTGTGAGGAAGTGAAAGAATGACTATTGGAAGAGCAGAATGACTAGTGTAACTCATAAGGATGTAACCCTGAAGACTTTTGTTTTGTCACTATATTGAATAAAAAGAAAAGAATTTGGACCTTCTTAGAGGGGAGTGTCAAACATGGCTATCCTGGGGTAGGTTCTGCCTGAGGAAGGAGGGAAAGATTTACCTCCTTTGGAAAAACATTTACACATCTTAAAAGTTCAAGTAGCCAAATCCATTACTTTTGCAGCTCCTCTAAGTTTCACTGGAGGAGCCTCCCCTAGTCGAGTATGCCAGCTGACTATCACTAAGACAATAAAAAAATGCAAGTACACCCACAGTGGTTTTGATAATCCCGCTCTTGTGCTCTGTGTACAGCACCTTAGACAGGCTCAGGACTGTCACTGGGATTGCTTGAGAGATTGGGTACTACTCAGCGTGTGTAAGGGTGGGAGAATCTGGCTCCAAATGGCTTCTTTTTCTCTCCTTGCTACAGGAACTGGAAAAGACAAGGGTGTGTGGGCGGGCCTGGAGTCCCTCCAAGGAAAGTGTGAGGCCTTGGGCAAAACAAATCCATCAGGTCTCTCATTTCTTCCAAATATAGGTCTGTTCTGAGTAATAGCCAAACTCAAGTCTAAATTCCACATTCAACCATTTCAGAGGGAATACATGAAAAAGACCCTATGGCCTACAGAATCCGTCTATAGAAAATATTTTGATAGCTCTTCCGCTCTGGCATTATCTTCCACTTAAAAAGAAAGAAAAAGAAAATACACAGAACTGGAGCACATGATTCAATTTTCACTGTAAAAGGACTGATTGATGAAAATAATACTTCTGAAAACAATCTGTTGTGAGCTATCAAACATTTTTGCCTGTGCACCAATTGGCAGGAAGCAGACAGATAAATTATTACAATATGTAAGGAAACAAATTGCTCTGAGGAGAAAGGGTATTTGTGTGTGTGTGTTTATGAGCAGGATAAGTAGAATTAAATCCATAAAAGCATGCTGAGAGATCATCCTCCATCGCAGTAGAAATATACTGGAAGGGAAGGAACTCACTTCAGCTTTGTCCTTGGCTGAATTTCTAGCAAAACAGGGTTTATGATATGTAAGTGTTCTTCTGGAATAGAATAGAAGAATCCTGGACTTGAAAAAAAAAAAAAAAAAAAGCTTGGGATGCTCCTGCTGTTGAGAGAAAGGGGGTCTCATAACCATTTTTGTCAAGATACTTCCAAATTTTTCAGGCATCACCACACTTTAATAAAATCAAGCATTTGCAACAGCTCCCCAGATCTTGAGTATTACTACCCATGGGAAAATTTGCTGAAGTGCTTGTAGACATGAAGGTTTAAGAGACAGCATTCCGTTAACTTTCAATAAGACAGTTTCTTTAGGGTCTGGCACGTGGACAAATTACAGTGAGATAAGCTCTGCATGAAGTAACAGCATGTGGATTGCTCTGTCGTGACTGTCTGTGTACATGCTCCTATCCCACAGTGACCAGTTCAGGAAGGGATGATAACTCCTTTTCCGTCAAGAGCCAAACCACCTCACATTTACCTCAGAGTTCAGACCCTGTACACTGGCAGCTGGTGGGTAGCAGTGCACAGGGTAGCTGTCTGCCACATGCTAAACACACTTTTGAATAAATGAGTAGGGCTTCTAAGCTGCACAGGATGAATCACATTTGTGGATCACTATCACCCAGCTTGAGCCATGAGATCCACATTTTGCCTGCTTATGCCATACCTGTAGCCTGCATCAACCCCATCTCTTTGTACTGCTGCTAAGAGGAGATGGAATCCTTCCTGTCTTGAGCATCGTCTTCTTTTCCTAAACTTTCTATTTGTGAATAGTAGAGGAAGGAAGGGGACATGAAGAACATGAAACTCTGGAATAGGCACTTATTAGATTGATTCTAGGAAACATGACCTGCAGATTGTAGATAAATTTCAGGAACATCTCAGAGAGGGGCTGGAGAGGCAAAAAGATGAATTGGAGCACATATCAGATATTTGTTCCATAGCAAGGCTATACAGCTGCTAGTGGTTGATCTTAGGTTTTCCACTAGATGTTCCATATATTTGACCTTTTGGTTATTACTACAGTCATCATGACATCAATAAGAAGCAAAGATTTTTAAAGGTATCCTGGAGAATCTGAATCCCATGAAAAACCAGCAGAAGCCTATCTCTTAAAGGCCTCTTTGCAAATCTTTCCTTACACAAAAATCTTCTCCTCGGAATTCAAATTAAGCACCCTTGTATGTGACAGAGCCAGAGCATCTTGGGTCTTTTATTTTCTGCTTTTTCTTTTAGCCAAAGTACAAATACTCTGTGATCTGAAATGCGACAGGAAATCTTTTTGTCATATTTGAAGGCTACTGAATGAGTATTTTAAAAAATAAATAGTGAGCAGAAGTAAAGTGTTCCTCTTACAAAGTCTTGTATTTGCACATTGTAAGGGAACCATTCATAGTTTGTGAGCACAGTAGATGATAATAATTGCTAGCAGCAATGAGCTAGCTGCAAGGACTGCTAACTGTAGGCAGCTAGCCAGCCTAAGAGGTTGTGATCATGTCATGAAGGCAGCAAATAAAAGACTGTGTGGATGAAAGTTACTATGCTATTTTGTGATAGATAACTTGAAAAGGTGACAGGGGAATAAAAAAAAACCAATAAAGTCCAATAACAAATAAATACACTGCAAACAGATGTAGCTCATATCACCTACCAAAAATTGGAATAATTTGGTCTTTCATGTCGTTGAAACATACTAAATAGGAACTTACTAATGTGTTTAAGTCAGCAGCATAAATTACAGGGAAAAGATTAGATAAACTGAGCTGGTTTGCACATTAAAGATTTTTGCATACAACTACAGCTTCATCACTAACTCTTCAAGTGCTGAAACCACCTTCAAGTATCTCATTGACAGGTGAGATGAACTGCTGTAGTTTTAAGAGATGTTTTCAAGGGCCAAGCAGAGGTTTTTTAGTTCCTCTTTCATCTGACAGAGTGCCTTCTTGACTTTCTGTGGTGTGTTCATAATTTCAGCGCTGTTGGTGAAGGGGTCATAGTATAGAGCAAAAGGCTTCTTGATCTTCATTGTGTAGCTTCTGTGGGGGAAGAAGACAGAGCTTCTAGTTCAAAAGGTACTTCCTTAAGTGTAAAACCTGCAGGACCTAATTTCTCACTATATGGTCATGGACTTATCGGGGAGCAGAGGCTGCTCTGACACGTCCTCACTGATACTCTTTAATGCTGTCTGGTGCAGTGCATCCTCCCCATGGCAGAACAACTTGCAGCCCTGAAGATCTGCAGTGCCTTTTTTCAGCGTGGCTGGCTTAGACCCGTCTGTGCTCTCACAGTTCTACACTAACACAATTCAGAGTTATTACAACCACAAGCTGAGGAATGCAGGAGCACAGCATGTCTGCCGCCTTCACTTCCAAGAAATAACCTGGAGTAGCTCTTTCTGCGTAAAATTCTAAAAACCTGTTGATACTAGGCATCCTCTATTTTTCTGTCTCTATTAAAAGAAAAAAACATGATTGCTTGCTATTTTTGACAATATTTCCATTAAGTACACGCTGGTAGGAACCCCCTGTACTGATGTTGCCATATGTTTTGTGTGCTGACAGATTCTTGTGCCTTTGGTTATTTTGAGCAGCTTTGGCTGTGCAACTGTCTTGAAAAAACGTATTAAAAAGCTTCAAGTCTGAGAATGGTGTATTCCTTGTCCTCGTATGTTCTTTCCAGGTTTGCCTGAGTCAAATGCTCTGCAAGTCCTCTCTCTTCTGCCAGTAAGTTCTCACCTACGTTTTTACACATATTAAAAATTTAACGTGAACATTCAGATTTAAGATGAGGAGCCTAATTAGCCATTGCTATAGCCCCAGCAGACAGTGCTTCTGGGGGAGAGGTGGGGACAGTAGGGAAGAAGTCTGGCTCAGGTTCTTTTCTTCTAATAAATTCCTCATTTCAGCTCCTACATGCTCCCCAGTAGCTCTACAATCAGCCTCCAGACAGAATTGGTCATGTTGTTCTAACTGTTGGAGACGAAGGCCAGAATTTAAACTCTGCTTACTTTAAAAAAAAAAAAAAAAAAAAAAAGAAAAAAAAAAAGAAAAAGAAAAAAAATCCTTACTGCATAACATAATACAGTTAAAGAAATATGTTTAGAAACACCTCGAGCTAATTTGAAATATTGTCATTTGGATTGCAGTCAGCTACTGTGTAGAAATTATATTGCCTGTGAATGCTGATTCTGCATTCTTGTGCAGATATAATCGGAGGAGAAAAGCAATCTTGTTTTTAAGCCCCCTGCTGATCCATGTTAATTCCTGAGACTGCTATAAAATTTCTGTGTGACCTTGGGTAAATCAGTTCTTCATGGCCTCCTCTTTGTATGGACTAGCACATAGGGTGAGACTGCACTCTCACTATTAGTTACAGACTTTACTTAAGAAGTTGCTAAAATGAAGCATTGTTAAGATTAAGCATGGGACAGGGTATAACAAGATATAATTCTGAATTTTTATGAAGCTTTTCTGAGATAAACAAGCTCACGTTTAATTTTGTTGTAAAAAAGCCATTAAGCAGATGCAATGAGTTAGCCTGGCATGGTTATTGCAATAGTGGTACATGTATTTGAAATTAAGACTCAAGCCAGTGTGACCCCCTCAATGAAAATACCCACAATCACTTTACTTACTGAAGCTTGACCTTGGCATCTTCAAAATTTTCTGCTATGAAATAGACAGGTTGGAAGGCTTGATCCTGATAGGGGTGAACTGCAGTCACTTCTGGATCAAAAGGCTTGTACTCTGGCTTGTTTGACAAAGCATACTTTGTAGCAGGAACAACACAGGTTAGAGCAGGTGAATGAACAGAGAAAGAATTAGTCCCTGCTGGACTGTGAAATTCTCTTTGTGGAATAGTTAGGAGTAATATCAAGTCCTGTTCTTTCACAGGTCAAAGCTGATTTTCATAATTAGCAGTTAATAAACCAAATAATAAATATTAAAAAAATAAATTAAAAAAAAATAAATATATATTTCCTATATTATATTGATGGACTACTGGATACCAGAGCCATGTTCCCAGACATGGAAGGGAAAGTCTATGGCACTCCCCAAAATATAAGTATCTGGCAGAAAATAATATCATGCTGCTTTTCTTCAACTAGTATCATAGAAGATTCCCAGTCCTGTGCAGCAGTACTTCAAAGCCCCCTTGCCCATGTCACGAATCTCACATTTCCTGTACTGAAGAACAGATAGAATGCTTCTGTGTTTTATGCACAGCTCCTAGGTCAGTATAGCAGCCTAAAATCTTCCTTGAAGCCCAAAATATAAATAAGCAGTATCCTCTGTGTGTGCGTGTTTGTGTCTTTGGACCCACAGAGGTTCTTTTATATGTTCTCAAGTTCTTTTACATTGTCCCTCAGGCAAACAGGAGGATTACAGAAGCCACTTCTGTCCACACTGTGGTCCATAGGCACATCTCTATCATTTGTTTACATACACTGGAGATATGTTTAAACCAGACACCAGCTTAATATCATCACACAGTCCTAGGAAGGCAACACAGGTCAGGTATAAAGTGAGTTCCTAGACAGTTTTTCTGCCCCTGAAGCCCAAATGAGGTCCTTTAAAGCTAGCTCAGCTCTAGTGACATTTAAACTGCATCATAGATGTGCCTGAAAGCTGGTTGTGCCTCTAGTTGGCCAGGTTGGTGTCCCACAGACACTGTGGTGAAGTGTCCTGGGTGCAAACAAAAAGGAAAAAGGCAACCCATCTCAGTCAATGTTAAAACCATTTTATCCACCTTCAGACTGTCTCATCCACTTAGGAACAGTCTTTTAGTACCCACCCCTTCTTTATTATCTACCTCTTTGCCTTTCTCTCTCCTTCCTCAACCTTCAGAAGGCTCCTTTTGCTATTTTATAATCCAAATACCAACTCTTATGGTACTTGTAAATAACTGGTAAGAGTGGGTGACACAGCAGAAGACTTTCAGTTCAGTCTGCTAACTGGAAAAATTCAGACAGTATCCTTAAGCCCATTTTTTGATATTTCACTGAACCAGGCCTGAACTATCCATCACTGGAGGCCTGCCTTAACCAGGAGACCAATGTGCTGCAGAACTGGTGCAGAAACACATACATGGCTTTAAAGAAAAAAAAATATAGAACAATAATATAAAATTCTAAAAGATGGTGTTTTTCTTGCTCTTCATTTCAGTGTGTAATTGAAGAATAAACTTTGGAGAGCACTCATACAATCTAAGATGGTTGGTGTATACACAAACATGAGGCTGCTCTTAGAATCTTAGAAGCTCTGGGGACTAACGGGAAAAGATTTCAGAAACTCAAAACCTGACAGGGGTCCCGCTATGCTGTCAGTTTTGAAGCAGAACTGAAATCCCATTGATTTCAGTGGAAGTTCAGCTTGAAACTGGATGGCCTTAAAGGCCTCTAAAAGTTAAGTACTAGTTGTGCTGCAAGAAAAGCATATGTAGCACTGAGTGTTGCCAGAAGTGCGGTATGAGCCATAAGATTTTACAGTATGTAGGACAGAGTCCAGCTGAGTGTTAACAGAAGAAGCATTTTGGATAATGTAGAACAGCTGACAGAATATAGTGAAATAAACAGTGCAATACTGAGAGCTGTCGGGGAGGAATTCTTACAGTTCAGAGGAGGCAAGTTTGGCCAGCAGTCAGACCCATTACAACTGTTCAGTTTAGACTCGGGTATGGTTATCCCTCTGATATATAGCTGCTGTTACCAAATCATTTGTTAGATAACAGGGATTCAAGTGCAAGACTCATGCAGATATTTTCTAGCTCTACCTCTCATCCTCTGCCTTTCCCCCAGGTTTTGCCCTGAGTTCGGGCAGGATCAGTTCATCCAAAGCAAATATCTACCTGAAGTTGAGTTTAAACTGCTGAGAGTCTGTGCTGTGGAGCAAAGGGAAATGTTTCGAAGATTTCACAGTCAGGATGTGGTTCCCTGGGTTGCAGTCACATACCCACAGAGAGTCAGTCCAGGCTGCAGTTCAGGGATGTTCCCAGGCTTCTTGGTGATGCTAAGTTCTCATACCACATTAGCTGAATGTACTGGTGCTCACCCTCCCCAGCTGCTTAGGTGTTCTCTTCTTGTAGCTAACCATTTAACCTTAGTAACTCCTGCCCTTATTGCCTCCTCAATGACCAAATCATCCTGCTATTCCTGGTCTAGAGGCCTTCAGTGATGAGGAAAACCCTCCTTTGCACAGACTGCTGCAGTGTGTCTCCTCCAGCACATGACCCACAGTGATAATCCCACAGTACTTGTTATATTCACTGCCAGCAAAGTGCCGAAAATTTCACTGCCTGTGCCAAATATGTCGATCAGCTGAATGATAGGGAATCAAGTCTGGGAACTCCATGCAGAAGCCCACCTCTGGACCCATACTGAGAAGAGTGGTAGATAATTTTTAGCATGGAAAATGGCTTTCTCCCAAGCAGCAACAAAACTTATCTAGAGCTTTCCCAAGCGCCAGCCTAAAACTGCAAACTGTGTTTTGCAAGAAACCGAAGTCTATCATGAGCCTCACTATCGTCCAGTCTTCATCTTCTCAAACAGATCTGTCTAGCCTCTGCTTTATTTCTAAAAAACAAAAAATCTCCTATGAATAGATACTGCACTACACATAGTTCCTCTCTTCAGCCATAAAAGAAACAGTTGGTATACATTTGCAGGTTGCTAGCAGGTGCTAAGGCATTGGACCTCACCTCTTTACTTGCACTGCCACCGTCCATACTGAAGTTAGAATCAGATGCTTATGCAGAATACAGAGATTAAATGGAAATATTTTTATATTTCAGTTTCATTCTAAATAAAAAGATGAATCAGTCAGCCACAGAAGGAAACTTCAGCACCTAAAGCCATGAATATAATTAACTTGTACATAAAAAGTTTCAGATGCTCAAGGTGAAGTGCACAGAACCACTAAGACATTGTCCCAGAAGCTACACAGTGATGAACTTGCAGAGTTCACACAGGGATTGTAGAGGGTGCATAACAGCATTACTGGTTAACTACTTGCCATCCTCAGAATTAGGTGTTATGTACAAGATGAACACATTGTTGGAAGGTGGATAATTCTTCTTCACTACCTATTGAATATCAATGCCATCACATCTGCATGTATTTTCAGTAATATGACGGATGAAGACCCAGGTGGACCCAGCTTTATCAAAAGTTTATCCAGTAGCTTTACCCAACAACTACTGATGGTACAAGTAATGAAAAGAAACTGCCATTTATCAACTCAAGGATGGTTATGACTTCCATTGTCAGCCTCGGAGGTAGGGAGTTCGAGATGCAGTTGTAGTTTTGTGTTATATAGCACAGTTTTGTGCACAAGCAGTTCTTGCCTACTGCTTTAATCAAAAGCAGAAGAGCTTGTTGGTGTCTGGGGAAGAAAAGGACAGAAAAAGAGGGGAGAGAGCACAAATCTGGTGCACTGAAATCCAGACTCTCCAAAAGCGAGCATTTTATGATGAGACTTTTTTACCTTCATCTGTGTCAAAATTACACAAAAAAAAAGAGGCAACATCATACAGATAGATTCTGGGGTGCATATTGCTATGAAAGCTACATAAGTATCAGCAATATGATTACCTGCACCCTTTAGTACCCTGTTTAACATGTAAATAAATTTGACTTAAAACTATAAAATATTAAGATAAGCAGATTATAATAAATGTTGCATTGAATTATGCTTTGACACTGGATCTTTATGGTTCTACCAGGTAAATAAATGCAAGTTTATTTTTCCTGTTTGTTGGCAGTGAAAATAGCAAGTATTGAAGGATTTTCAAATAAACAGTAGCCTCAGCCTTATCCTAGAACAGATAGACATGTAAACAAAATGCATTGCACTGGAGCCTAATTGGTAGGGGAGCTTATTGATCTGCTGTTTCAAAGCAATACACTTCATTGTTCCACAGATGCCTGCTGCAGTAGTGCTAGCACACTGAAATTCATGAGCAATCAGGCCAAGAGTAGGCTGCTGTGAAGAAAGGAAGTCATGTTTATTTCTCTAGAGGGCTAACGAGCATGCAGATCTCTCAGCTTTTCAAGAGAGAAAGCTCTCTACAGATTTCACTCACAAAAATCTCCAAATTGCAAGTGTTGGGAGAAAACCAGTGCTAAACTCAGCAAGTGGTAAAATGAGGGCTGATGTCTGGGAGGGTTCCCCTTTCTCTGTGTTAATTTCAGCTGCCCCTCTGTTGGGTCTCCTACTTTAAATGTCTTGAATTGACACGGGAAGTGGGCTGACTGTACACCATGAGGACAGTTTTGCAATATGTTTATTGTCATAACAATCCAAAGATCTCCAGTTATGGGAGTCCAAGCTATGCTAATTCAGCAACTGTTACATGTGAATGTAGCCCTGCTAGGCTGCTGGTTTATGTGTTAAGCTTAAGATATATCTCCCAGGAAAAAAAAAAGAAAGAAAAGTTTCTGGTTTATAAAAGTGCTTCAAAAGAGTCTTATTTATTTTCCTTTGGCTCCTACAAAATTTAAAAAAATCATCCAGTACCTGCACAACCTGAAGCAGTTGAGACCTACTGATACCAGTTTAGAGCTTTTGCAATTAAAAAATCATTACCTGCTTCATTGCTCTGCAAAACTAAGAAGTTAATATCTCTCCTATCAGCTGTTTGTCCAAAGGAAGGGAAATCCATAAAATTTCTGTAAAGGTGTATGGTTCCTCTTTCCACAGCTAATCTGTCCAAGCAGGGCATTATCAAACCTGTGTACACAGATTTTCATCTATGTAAAACTAGAGCTAAAATTAGTTTTGAAATTTATTTAGGAATGTAAAATATTAAAGCATTTTCTTTTTGTAAGTGTCCATGCTATTTACAGTTTCTTTGCACTTTATTTGGTCCAGTCAGTAAGTGCCTTTCTGGTTCATATCTGTGTGAATATCAATGGCATGGATGAAACAGCTGAGTTCATAGTAGGCATAATATTGCCCTCTAGTGAGTAATTCAGAAAGGTACGTGAGTTTTATGTTAAAGTCAACTGCATTACTACAGATCTAATATTTTATAGGATGGTTGCTTTCATTGCATTTCATTTCTAGATGGAAGACAGGTACATTACCACAGTAGTTTTTCCTCTACTCAGTAACTTCTGGGAAGGGAGAATTAATTTCTTTGCAAAAGAAAAATCTGAATTATAAATTGTACCAGTTTATGCAGAAGAACATAATTTGCTTTTACCAGAGAGTTCAGAAAACCGGATTATATAAATCTTTCAACACTTTGCTTTTGACACATACCATAAGCTCCCCATAAGATGAAAGCAGTCCTGCCCCGTAAGCTTTGATCAATCCATTTTGCTTGCAGAGACCAAACTCCACAGTGAACCAATAGAGCTGGGAATAAGAACAGCTTGTGAAAAACAGTTTGAAAAAGGAGGGATTTTAGAGCTTCTCACTTTTCCTTTAATTGTCTTGTATCCTTATTCTTTAGTATATTTGTATCTTTGAATTTTATAGTTGTATATTTTAAGAAAATTATTTTTCTCTTAACATATAAAACACACTAAATGTTACATATATGTTTTCAGAACTTGTTGCACTTCCAAAAAAAAAAAAAGGATGGGTTATCCATTAGTGGCAAAGTACCCTTCAAGAGTACACCAATTATATCTTTGGCATGCTCCAGTAGAAAATCAAGATACATTTCTCTGGGCCTTTCTTGTGATAAAGCATGCTTAGGACCATACTTCTTTACCTGCTGGACAGTAGTGGGATAAAAGCAACTCTTGACTCTACCAAACTTTTGGTCCTTCCCTTATTACAAAATTTAAGGAAACAGATAGTTCTGGACACTTGGTAAATGAGGCATTTCAAGAATACAGCTTTGTATCACAACTCTTCAAGGTTCCTTCAGAGACACACAGCATTTTGCTGCCTCATACACAGGGATAGACCTTGGCTTCGGGTTAGCCATAAGTACTGCATTCTCAGGACCCTGTTTAAAGAACTGCAGAGAATTTGTAAAATAATGTGAAACTCCATATTATTCTGTCTATTCTTCATCTTACATACTCTTTCTTTCTCCTACCCTTTTTCATATACCTTTTAATTTTGATGACTTGCTTTTAGCCTGAAAATTTATCATTAAAGAAACAACATGCTAGGATCTTTCTTTGCACAGAATCCCGAGCTGTTTTTTTCTACAGTTCAGCTAATAATTATGCATTTTTATTGTGTTAATAATGTTGATTCTTATTATTTCACAGCAAAAAGTCTTTTGAGTACCTGCTCATTTCGCAGCAGGCTTTTTTGACTGCCAAATGAGACATGGGAGGAGGAGGAATTTTTTTTTACTGTTTCTTTAGATATCCTGTATTTGAATTCCAGTTAGTGAGATTCTTTCAGCTCTCACTGTTTTAACAGGCTACAAGAAAAGGTGCTAGCGGCACTCTGTGGATGACATGAACACTGGCAGTTTCTCATCTCTGGTGCGTGGATCCACCTGCACAGTGAAATCATGGGGCTGAATGAAATAATGGCATTTCAAAGTTTGTGTTACAAATGGTATAGACCATAGCAACAAGCAAAGTTGAGATTCTTTAAAGGAACTTTTATCTTAAATGTTGTCATACCATCCAACCTAGTTGCCTACATTCTCTTTATAATGAACAGAGAATGACAGGGACTTCCAGAGATAATCAGAGAATTCACATTAGATTTTTATGTCAGGGTAATGAATACACTAGATTCTTCTCTATCTCCACTTTTTAGAAAAGGAAACTCAAACAGTGAACCTAGATCAGATATATAAATTTTAAACATTTGAGGATTTAGATGTTAGTCCAGAATATATTTACTGTTCAGAATACTTAAATGACACAAAGTTGTATTCTCACAGACTCTGAACTGCAGGTAGCCCTTTCAAAAAGATGCCCTTCTTCTACCTCCTCAAACCCTAGAAGATACTATGGCAATTTCAGATATGAGACCCATTATTCTTCTAATCTAAATCCTGTCTCTAATCTAGTCCTATCCAGTCCAGGATCAGGGAGGGGTGCTTGCAGGGAAATGCTTTATAAGCCACCAGCCTTAACCCAATCTCACCAAGACCTGGGTAACAATGCAAAATAGCTCTCTGGGACTCATAATTCTTTTCACCCTAGTGAAGGTACAGACCTTAATCTCACTCTAGCCTTTCTAGACCTAGAGAGTGGAAATTGCAGTGGAAATGTGAACTGTCACTGTCATAGTGTCCTCACATCACCATCTCAGGACCTGTATGATGTTATGAAAAATTCAGCACTGGTATCTTTTGCTCATCAAACTCTAAAAATAAGGCTAGTCTTACCTAGTCCTGACCTAGGGATGGTTTTGTGCAGATGGGTTTTAGGTGAGCCACAACCTCCTTCCTGAGTGGGGCTGTGGGCTGGGAGAGGAATTTCAGGAGTTACAGTTTCCTCCCATCCACTACCTTTTCTAAATGAATCTCACCCAGGCGACAGCAAGGCTCCATTCCTCCTCTGAAAAAGTCATCAAGACTGGTAAATGGATGTCATTATTCGAAAAAAATCACCGGCCTCCAGAGGACTTTCAGAACAAGTTAAAATGTCAGTAAAGGACTTCATGAGTTGTTTTGACAGATGTATAGTGACTCAGAACAGAATGACAGTACCTACTCTCAAATTGCTGTTAAGTGCTCCCCTATTTTGTGAGGTTAATAAATATGAGGTGAATCAAATTCTGATGGTTCTCTGCACCTTGTGTAGGAGAAAATTCAGGTATCACATTTGATATCTAGTCTATTGGGTAAATCTGGAAAGTGAGTTGGGACCATCCTGTGGCTGAAATTGTAAAAACTCAGCTTAAGAAATATATTCTTATAAAATCCAGAAGCGTAAGTGTATTCTCAGGTGGAATTACATGCTTCTGTGTTCCCCCAGAGGGACTCCAGTCTCTGCTCCAGAACCTTCCTAACCTGTGGAGGAGGTTAGGATGCTCCCATTGTGTAGTTAACCTGAGACACAAGAAGAACCTTCCCTGCATAGTAAGGGATATGCAGTGAATTGTTTGGGGTTTGTCTCCAATATTAAACTGCCATCTGTACTTACTGTGGCCAGTTTCTCAATCTCCACTTCAGATGATCCAAGAGAAGCCAGTCCAATATCCTAAAGCAAGTAAGCAAGCAGGCAGTGTTACACTAGTGTGATTATTCAGCCCAAGGGAGAGAAAGAGGGGAAGGGGGAGGACCACATAATTTCTAGCATGAATAGCATGAACTATTCATTGTTTTTGTCACCCAAAATGACCTTCTATGGCTTCCAGGATGCCTACCTCTCCCTGGCCCCCAGCTACATACCACTGGGAGCCACATTAGATGAGTGTTTAATCCTCAGTGTTCTCTGTGTAAAATTAACCGTCTCTTGGTTTAATTCTGGACTCTCTATCCCAGACAGAGATTTAAATGGAGGCAAGAGAAGGAAGGACAGCAAGGTGGGTTTTATCTTTGCCATTACCTTTCTGTCTCTCACTCCTTCTGAGAGCCTTTATGAGTGGGTCAGATCTGTGTAGGGAGGGTTCTGTTTACTTTTATCTGTGCTTCCTGTTAAATGCTCTTCTCACAATAGAAATCTGTAGATGTCTCTTTTTTGCTGTCCCAGAAGCCATATCATGCAGCAAACAAACAAAATTAGGGCACTTTTACCATTCATCATCTCATGTTGAATGGAATGAAAAAGAATTTTCATGGGGTGAATTTCAACTGTGAAAACACTTTGTGGGAAAAATAAAGTGAAATGTGAAAATTCACTTAATGTGATCCCATGTTGTATAGTCTGTGTTATTGATGGGAAAAGGAGAAAACTGAAAGCTGTGAAATTGCTATAAAATTCTATTTCTAATGTGTCTTGAGTTCTGGTATTGAACTAAACTGAAGAGGTTTCTTCCAGAATAAATTATAGAGGTCTAGGATATTTAAAGCAGTACTCCTCTGATTCTGATAATAACCAATATCTATGAGCAAAAGGGTAACTGCCATGTATTCAAGTTGATACAACTGGAAACCACATTAGATGAGTTGAACTGATTTTCTTTTCAAAATATTCTGACAAGAACCTTCATCACGTTACCCCTCTGATCCTATTGCCAGTTTCCACATTAGCCACTGATTGATAAACCTGGACAATGAGTTACCTTCTTCCCTCTGTTATGGTTTTGAGCAACATTCATAGTTCTGAAGTCTTTAATTATGCAAGGTTGTTGAGTTCACTTGGGTCTGACACTAAATACTCCCTTATTGTACAAATAAGCTTGGTTTGCTTTTTGAAGCCTGCTCTCCAGTGTGAGCAATGCTGTGAGAATCTGGTGAGTTGTAAAAGGAAAAAGAGCTCTGATGAATGACGTGGTGATGGACACAATTAAAGTCTCATGTGAGATAAAAATGTATATCCAGAGACAGAACCAGCTTGGGGGCTCAGCGGCTGTTGCTGTTTAGGTTCATGTGGTGCAGGACAGGAAGCCAGGAGAGCAACATTGTCAGTAAAGCTCCACCACCAGCACCACAGAGACATCCTTCTCCGGACTGACATAGCCCTCCCACACAGAGAAGTCCCACAAGCACTCCCTGCCCTTCCTTTTACACCACGTCTGTAGGGAGCAGCGCTACCACTCCCTTGGAGTAAATGTCTCCCAGAGTGCTGCTAGCCCACCACCCCTGGAGGTAGTGATTCAGGCACAATCCAGTCTTAAAATTGCATTTTATGGTAAGCTGCATGTATTTAAGGCACATTTGGCCTGCTATCCAGAGCAGTTGCTTAAACAGCCAGCAGAACAAGCTTCTTACCTGTGAAAAGTGGGCAAACTCCTTGTCAGCTAGCATGGGAACATGACCCAGCAACTCATGGCAACAGTCTCTGAAAAATAAGTGACCTTCATGTCTGTTAAAGGCTTCTTTTTCTGCCTTTCATTAACTTCCCATGAAGAACTTTAGCCAACAGACCCCAAAGGGAGCTAGTACAAGAGCTGCTTCGCAGTGGATGCCTCCATACCTGTCCTGGCTCTACAAGGAGTGTGACAGAACATTCCCTTCTGCCATGGGAAGCCATCTGCCCCCTGCTACCTTGTCTATTGTCTCACTTGGGATGGCATGGACACCAACCTTCTATGTCACAACATCTTTGAAAGGCCCCTATTTTGTCCCAGGATACAACAAAAGCGTCTGTGTGAACTTGTAATTTCTCATGAAATGTTATTGCTGTTGTCTGGCCAGCACTTACTGGGAGAGTTTCACAGCAGGAAATCAAACCCCAGCAGATGGTAACTGAAGGCAGTATGAAAAGATTAAACCAGATATTCTCCAGTCTTTTCCTTCCCCAGACAACTTTGCAAGAGAGACAGAGAACCACACCCTCTCATGCATGACTTCCCCTTCTAACTCTCCAGCTACCAGTTTCCTAAATTGTTTCATTCTGTGGACTACTGGATAGAACTCCAGGGCCATTCCCAAGAGAATCATCCCCAACACATTCAGAAGGATGGGATTACTCCAGAGCATCAAACTTACGGTTCTGGGGAATGCATAGGAGAAGAGAAATGCCTTATATACTGCGTGCACGGGAAGACACGGAATGCCAGGCTGGCAAGGAAGTCACGAGCAGACAGAAGTCCTGCAGCTGGTCTCAGCTGGAAACCTGTTCTCTCTGCAAAGGGAAGGGAGACCAAACTTAGGCATTTCTAGGGTTAACTGCCCCAGAAATAGGGACCTAATATGTCCCTTCACCAAGCATAGTAGGTAAACCCTAGCTTATCATTGTTGGTTTGCCCCTGTACTGCTATGGGACCAGTTACTGCAGCATCAAATCACTTAGCCATCCATCCTACATGCATACACACAGCCATGATATGAGGTATGGGAGTACTGCCTATCCCAGTTCACATTTTTAGCACATTTACACACATTTATGTACTATGTCCCACACGGCAGTGGTGTGTCTGAGGTCACACGTGATCCTTATGATCAAGCAGGGAACAGAACCTGCAATTTCCATTCTGGCTTGTCTATTAATTCTTGGATTATCTCTCTCACTTCCCGTCTAGCACATGTAAAAGAAAAACAGGAGTTAGACAAGTGACACAACCCACCCCTACCCTTGTCTGAGAGCACCTGGCTCTTCCCTGAATCTAGGTTACTGTTTAGCCCTCTCCTGAAAACTTTCTTCTTCCCTGCACTGAAACTTCTGGTACTTTGCACTGTTGAAGATAGAAGTAGGTGGATCATGGGTCTGCTCTATTAGGGCAATTTTTCTATTCCTCAGTTGGCATAGTTCAACATAACCCAGAGGTAGAATTGGAGTATACTATTCCATTTAATTTCCCTTTGTCAGTGCATGCTCCACATAACTATTGGGGCACTGTCAAAACTTGCTATCAATTTTGTCTTTCTGCCTGAACTTCATTAGAATGGGAACATGCAGGAGAAAGAGCAATGGGTCATCGTCAGAGATAAGGGTCCTGGAATTTAGCCCTTAACCATTTAATATCAGAGTCTCCAAGAGTGCTTTCACTTATTTTTCCCAGGTTTTTTTTTAATTTGTTTTGTTGGATTTTTGTTTGTTTGTTTGTTTTACCATTATGTTTGTCTAGAACTACACAGCCTCCCATTGATGCGATCATACACATTTTGCTTTGCATATGTCCATAGAACAGGACAGAACAATGCCATACTCTTGCACTTCAATTTCAGCTTGTGCTACCAGTGTTACCCCAGGACACCCTGCATTACTATGAAAGGTCTGTGAGAGATGACTAACAAAATAACCAGTCTGATAGTCAACAGAACACACAATCTACATTTCCATGGGAAACATGTTGGTGGTCTGCAAAGCTAAGAAAATTGAAAATCACTGCTTTCAAAGTGAGCCAATGATAATCTTTTTGAAGTCTTATATTCAAAATCTGTGTTGCATTCTCAGCTCCCATAAATGACATTTCAACTTCTTTAAAGCATAAAACTACATTTTAAAAAAAACAGAAATGGCTTTATTCTCCCTTCTCTACCCATATTCTATTGTGTCATGAAGCCAGGAACCTAATTTTTTTTATGTAAACAAACAAAAAAATCCCACCCAGAAACCAAGCCATTTACAAGATTTGTTTTGATTTGTTTTTTAATGTTTCTTTCAGAATTTCTTGTCTTACTCTATGAGGCTATTTCTCATTAAAAAAGAAAAAAAAGTAGAGAGAGAAATAAAAAGAAAGAAAAAAGGATGCTTCAAAGAATTAGAAGTGACAAACATATGAAGCAATACATAAATGAGGGGACAGCAAAGAGTGCTTCTACCTGACATTGTGATGGACTAGATGGTGGGCATTTGCCACAGTTACCTTCTGTTGCTCCACTGAATTCAAAGGTAATGGGTACAGAACTGCCACAAAGCTGAATCATAAGTGGTTGTATTCTCCCCCCTCCTCAGTTAAGAAAGCAGGGGGGTTGGGGAAATAGACTGGCAACTATGTCTCCTTAAGTACTGGCCAGGAACTGACACAAGAAGGGTAGGTAATCCCTTGCTGCTGATGCCATACTAAGTCAACCCAGAAGAATGTGAAAATCTCAGAATTCGGTAATCTTTCAGCTGAATTCTGAGTCTGAGTGAACTGAAAACTGCACTAGCTAAAAACCAAGATCTACGTAACTCAGTTTTGGAAGGACTACGAAAGAATCTAGGGAAATTTATATTGTTGTAGCATCCATGTTGGAGGAGCAGGAGGGAAAATGAAAATTACAGCCTGTGTTCCTTGAGATACCCTTTTAAACATAGGCCAGTGTATCAGACAGTCTGCTGATGGAACAGACTTGGCCAGTTGCCTTGAAAACCATAGGAAAAAGTTATTTGCTGAAGGTAACATCTGCAAAATTTGAACTTCTATTTCATTACTGCACAATAAAATAAGCAATTAGTAGAAAATTAGGGGTGTGGCTGGTGGAACCTGCTGCCAAAAGATCTGTGAAATCAAAATGACTTGAAAAGAAGGTCTTGAGTAGTTGACCTAAAGTGATCTGCAAGGCTTAATTCTTGGCCTAAAAACTAGTGTATACACGCAGCCTGTGCATTGTAGTATGAGCTTGCTTGAATTCACTGACTGTAATGTCTTCCAGCTGTGGAGGACAATGACTGCCTAAATCCAAACATCTTTCCTAGAAAGAAAGATGTGCCTAGGTTCATCTACTTAACCCTTTAGAAAAACACTTGCCATGTTAAATGGCAAACCACTTGCCATGGTTAACCATTTAAAACCCCTTTAACTAATTATGAAATATTTATGATGTATAGTTCATTTCTGTTCAAACCAATGTCACTAACAGCCAGGTAACACTAGAGAGATCTTGTATTGAAGACAAAAGCAATTGCTTTCTTAGGTTCACAGATATTGCCGAGTAAAAGAGAAGATGAAAGTTTATCTGGCTTTGTGGGCTGGTTGTCACATGCTCATTTTCACTCTGCTATATCCCTCACTCTCTCTCTCCCACTCTCTCTCTCTTTCTCTCTATTCCTGTAGTTTATTATTTTCAAAGCTGTTCTAGAGGAGGTTCAGAATGGAAATGTTTCTTCACTTGCAGAGTGGTCAAACACTGAAATAGGCTTCCTAGAAAAGTGGTTAATGGCCCAAGCCTGTCAGTGTTTTATTAAGGTCAACGACCTTAATGACGTGCTTTAACTTTTGGTCAGCCCTGAATTGGCCTGGCAGTTGGGCCAAATGATCACTGTAGATCCCTTCCCACTGAAATTATTCTATTCTATTCTATTCTATTCTATTCTATTCTATTCTATTCTATTCTATTCTATTCTATTTCTATTCTATTTCTATTCTATTCTATTCTATTTAGATCTTATCATCACATATGCTAAAGAATATTCCAGTTCTTTAAGGCAGTATTTAGCAGAGATTCATGCTGGGATTTATGTCCTAAATGGGAGAATGGGACAGTTCAGAGCTCACCAGTGACAGGAGGAACTGCACTACGCATCTCCACATAGGTTATAATTGAAATATGTGCACTGTATGCCAAGGAGACACATCACAGCCTATAGCTTGGTTAAGCTGTGGTTGGTTGAGCACTGCACAACTGTAACACAGGAAAGAGCCTAAGCACACAGTTGATTTATGACTTGTGAAGAAGCAAAAATTCTGGTCTTGCTAACACTGGTAGTAAAAGCCAACCAATTAGTAATAAATCACTACTTATAACTCCTTATAAATCATATGCCTCAGCCAGTGGCTACTTGGCATGAGGTTGTCTTTAACACAGATTTTTAGACCTTGCAAATGCTTCTGATTCAGCCTGTTTGTTACAAAGGGGCCTTGCAATAATGTCAGTATTCATACTAATCTAGAAACTATTCTACATAGTGATATGACCTTATTAGAAGAAAGCTAGGTAAGATATCAGTTCAAAGCCCCCATAATGGGACTAAAATAGTTTCCTCAATCTTAATTGTGTCTAGCTGTTAACACAACTCTTTTGAAAAAATTTTGTTCTATTCATGCATAACCTGTAGGCTAAACTAATCCAAGTTTTATCTACAGTTTAAGGAGGGTAGGACCAGTGGCCCCAAGAGCCATTCTTTCCTTTTTCCTTAGACATCCGTTCCAGCATGGAATAAAATGTCTCTGAAATGCCTAAGTCTTGTTCCCAATCAGAATAGTTCAGATGATTAGCTTACACTAGTCACCTGTGAACATCTTCCCAACCATTATTGGCAGATTTTTGAGAATTGCTGCCTTTTTTTTTTTTTTCAGATGACAACTTGTTTGACTCAGAGAAAATTTAGAACCAGAACCTATGAAAGAAGTGAGCAGACTCCAGGCAATCAAATCCTGTCAGCCAACATGAACAATACAAATAGTATTATGACAGGGTAGTCTTACATTACCCTAAATTCTCCCATTTTGAAATCATCTATTTCACTTAAAGAATATGAATATTTGTGGTAATCAAGTTAGGATCACATGATTTCTGGAGCTCCCTGCTGTCACCTACTGCGTAAATGAAAAGAGATGAAATCAACTACTTCATGAGAAAAAATATTAATCAGCCCAGTTACTATAGGAGAGGAGTAAGATGGAGATCTGAATAGAAGGGAAGACATATGAGAAAATACATAATGTATACACAGAAAAATTCCTACAGCTGGGTGCGATGGTGCTCATGGGAGATGCTTTTCATATGGCAACCCTCCCCTCCCTTCCACTAGAAGTACACTTAAAACCTTGTCATTGAGTAGCTTAATCTTCTCTAAAAATGGCAACATTTTAGAAAACTCTTCAGCAACAGAAAGCTTATTCAAGCTTACTAGCATCCCCTACTGTTATACGTAGCAGATCACTTGATCTCCTGAACAGTATGTTTAAACATAATTTATTTAAAGTTAAGCTATATTTTTTATTATTTATTTCATCATAGTGATTAGCTGTCTTATCTCTAGCACATCTTCTTTTCACTAAGAAGGAATAAGGAGGTTTTAAAGGTGACCTTTCTTTAGTCATTCTTGATAATCAAGTGATTCACACAGAGCACCTAGCCTTGGGAATCTATGCAGCCTGTAGCCTCACAAAAGTAATGCAGGCTCCCTTCCTCTTCTGCTCTTTGCTAGTCAGACCCCAGCTAACAGCAGACAGGTCAGCCTAGCAATCTTGTGTGTCCTTTGATCTAAAGTCACTTCCTTATGCCTTTACAGACCACAACCACAGCGTTTGTGCTCTTCTGTCAGCCACCTGGTAGGTATCACAGAGGTCAGTGTGGCAAATGGTGCTGTGGAGACAGAAAGAAGCAGAGTTGTTTCAAGGCAGCTGCTGATTGGCCAGCAGGACCACCTGGAAATAATTTTCTCTAGTATACATTGCCATCCCGTCTCATACATTGGAAAAAAATATGTACCTGTACTTGTGTTTGGCTCTTACTAGCAGTAGGGCTTTTAGAAGCATAAAACACAGCCAAATGCATAAAAAAACCCTGTGTGTGGAAGTCATGTTGAGCAGTGTGCAGCTGTGACTGTACCGCTGCTAGCACTGGGATGAACTGATTAGTGCCACACCAACTGCAGCCACACACAAACTTATTTACCACCTGGTCCCCAGATACACCTGGTATGAATGTCCTGTGCTACAGCTCATCTTGCATGAGGGAATGTTATAACTAATCAGCTCTGCACACCAGCTTGTGTCCTAGGAGATGGTTTGTGTCTGTATGTGGTGCACAGATATATGCAGGAAATCCTAGAATAAACCATGGTTTATAATGACTAACCTTTTAAAAATCTGGAGACATCCTGGAGTTGAGGTATGTTATCTTCCTGGTAGCCACAGTACCTCTCCAGCTGCTGGAAAGCATCCAGGTACTGTGTACAGGCGTGAGTAGGGTAAAGGCTTCTCAGCTTCCTGTAGACTTCTTTCCTGAAAAGCAAAAACTGTATAGCATGATCCACCTTAAAAAAGCAGTATTATCTGTCCTGTCTACAGATCTAGAGAGGTGCAAAACCTCAGTACACATCATGGTCTAAAAATCTGCACTTGGGACACCTGGTGCTTGGAAGCTGATGAGTGGACAGATGTAGCAAACCAGAAGGAGTTGTTGTTTCACTTTTCCTTCAGAAGGTGGATTCTGTTAAAAAATCCTTTTTATGTCTTCCTACATCCTCCTTTAATGTAACAGAACTCTAATTCCAAGACAGAAGTGTTTCTTGCTTCTTGCTCAGGGTGTTAGAGGTAACAGGGAAATCCCAGGGAGAGAGCTGAGCCTGTGATACTTTGTTGTTCAGTTTAGGAATAGAATGAATCACATATTCCCCCCCTCTCTGTCTTGGGGTACAACTTGAAACGCTGGTCCCTCTTTCTCCATGCGTAGGCCTAGCCTATATTTGTCACTTGCACACCTCCTCCTTAAAAAGCACATCTTCTGATACTGAAGAGTAGTATCTGGACAGGCAAAGAGATTCATACTTTTACAGTTCAAAATGCCTGGCACAGGCTATGTATTTCAAAGATATGCAAGTTTCTTGAAGCATTTAGCCCATTATACAAAAAAAGACCAGCCGAAGAAAAATATATGTAACTAGATGGTGCTTGGATTTAGAGCTGTGGTTTGGAATATATTTAGATCTTGCAAAATAAACAAGTAGTAATAGGATGGCAAAGAACCTTATAGAAATAGTTATTTTTGTTCACACATGGCCCTAGGGTGTTAGCAACTTTATAAACACTGTTTTATGAAAACTGAGATCATTCTTGGAAATGCTGGGTACGGGAAATGACCTTTTGTTGTTTTTGTATTGTTGGGGTTTTTTTTGTGATGCTATTGTTGCTATGGAGGTGATAGCCAGTCCCTGGTAATGGTTCTCTTAATTTGTATGAATGTCTTACATGGTGTGGGAGTAATGAACCAGAAGTAAGGGGGGGAGGAAAACCCCCTTAATTTAAAAGAACAGAGGGGAACAGTGGCTGCTGTCACTATTGCAAAAACCACAGGAGACCGGGTCATTTCCATGGAAGAATTAGGAAAAAATGAAGACTAAAGTTCAAGTGTTGCCCTGGCTTATTTCCTCACAGAATACTACGGGCTTCAGTGGGATTGCATGGGATTTGAACCAGTACACAGTTCATACCCAGATTAGAGTCTAGAGAGAGCAGCCTTGTTTATGCTTCTGCACATATGGTCCCCTTTATCAAAGTGTCATTCTACTGTGTGTCCAAACATTGACTTCCACAGAAATGTAGGCAGTCTCAGAGATTAGTGATGAATTATCCAAAGCTAAGTGTTCCTCCTCTCTAAGTACCTCTAAGGCAATCCTCTAAGTATGTTCCAAAATCAAGAGAGTAGCAGATATTTCCAGATGATTACTTAGCTTGCCCTAATGTAGTGTCTCAAATAGTTGTAATGCCTACTGTAAGGAAGTGCTCTCACTCAAAGGACCATTAAGCTGCTACTTGATGGTACTTCAGTTCAGAGATGGAAAGAAGAACTGCTGAAAGCACAGTCTATGAAGTACTCTAGAAAGGAGCCTCATAATGAAGCATGAAGCCAGCCACTGGTACGACTTTGATGGCAATAACCTATTTAACATAAATTTCATTGCTCTTTTAGGAAAAAAGTGGCACTGTTCAGCTTTATTATGAAGATGTGACAGGTGCATCCCCATAGTTTTGTCCTGAATTCTCCATTTTTCTTATACAGCTGTTACCCATAAGGTGTCTTCTGTGACTACTTAGTTTCAGGACCTTCCAAGAAGTTGCTTTGAAAACAAAAACTCAGATCATCTGTACCCTCTGTTTTCTGAAAGTCGTATTTCTTCACTGGATTAGTTTTCATTTTTATAACCATGTTGCTACAAACTGAAGGCATCCAACAACTCTGAAGAGTGACACCAAGGGAATTTAGTCTGTGGTATAAATTTCCTGTTCAATTGCATAGTGCTCAATTAAGTTGTGCTGTAATGCAGCCTGACCTCAGGGCACAGCCTCAGGGGGCCATGAGAACAACTGGGAACTCTAATTTTGGAAACAGTTTTACATAACAAGACAACCTGGGTTGCTGAGGCTGGCTGTATGGGGAAATGGGCAGATACTCCTTTGAAGGTCTATTTAGTTACCACAATGGGTCTAATTCTAGGTGGAGAAGAGCTGGAATGACGAAGGTTGGCAAAAAAAGACCAAAACAGGAAAGAACACAAAATTAAATTTTCTTAAAAATGACATTCACACACACCATTTCATGCCAAGGTTGTTGGCCGGTGGTAGCAATCATGAACATGACACCGACCATCAATCTTTGACTATTGAAAGATGCTATAAAAAGCTATTTGAGCTTAATAAAAATGTGACCTCCTGGATGAATTGGATGCAAGGTTTATATGCGGTTGTGGATTTCTATGGTACAGTAGATTTTATTTAAAATAAAGTAAGCATTGAAAAAGATGGAATGAAAGCGTAGTTGAGGTTCTGGCAAGAGACATCTAGTCTATGGATTTAATTTCTGGCATTGAAATAAACTTTGTACATAATTTTGGGCAAATCACTTAAGGTCTAGTGTTTTCAGTTGCACATTTATAAAATGGGGTCTTCATTCTTTCTTTTCCCCGTCTTTAGGCTGTCTTTCCATTTAAATTGTAAACTTTTCTGAACAAAGACTCTCTCTTATTATGTGCACATGTGGCACCTTGCACAATCCCAGGACTCTGCTTTTAATTGAGATTTTGGATGTATTTATGCTTTGTAGTATCATACCAATGTGTAATTATTACTGCTTACTGAGATTTGTTAGTTAGTGGGAGAAAGAGGAAACAGAGGGATGTGAAATAAGGACTCTGTTTTCTTTCAAATCTGCCACATACTTCACATAATATTTACAAATATACTTTGAATTGGCTTAATTTTGTGTAGTTCTCTGGCAGATATTTGGGGTCTTTTTTTTTTTTTTTTTTTGAGTGGCGAATCTTCAGGAGAAACAAAGCCCCAGTAAAGAAATGCTGCACCCTTATAAAAAACTTGCCATCATTTCATATGGTATCAAAGGCCCTTTTACAGTGTAAATGAAGTATCCTGGAAGGGTACTTCAGAATTTACCTTCATTTTGAGAGAATTATATATATATTCAGGTTAACAGGAATGAATACTTGAAGGATAATAAGCAAAGCTCTTCCGTCCTGTGAATATTGAATTAGCCACATCCTGTGAGTAAACTTCCATACTGCTAGTGGGCATTTTTTCCTGGTAACAGGCTTAGAAAGGTGATATTTCTGTAAGCATCACAGCTGTGGTAGATTTGAGGTCAGTTAGAAGTTATGCTATAGGCTCCGGGTGTTTTCTGGGTTCTGATATCTTGATGGGATCAGCAGGCTGGGAGAAGGTGAGAAAAATGCATTTTGCTCTAGAAAGTGAATAATTAAGACCAACCCCAAGAAGAGCTTTCTGCAAAACAAATGACCAGAAGATGATTTTTGACAAAGGAGTAAAATTTGAGATGGATAAATACAGTCTTAAGACGTTATAACTGTCTCACATTGCATGTCTTTCCTGGGACTGCAGTGGAATGGTCCAGGAGTTGGACCCTAAGTACCAAACTCACCAAGTTGCCGTCTCCTGCGCTGTGTACTCGATGAGAGGCAAAGGGTCTCCCCTGCAATGAAGAGAAGAAATAAGACCTGTCTAACAAAGGTCAGTTTCCAGGTATAATTGATATATGGATATTTGTTGTAATGAAGACAAACAAACAGCAAAATAGTAAATAATTAACAACTTATTTGTCTTGGTAGGCTTTAATGTGTGCATTCTCTCCTCTGTTACAATGTGGGGAAGAAACAGAAGGATATGGTAAGAAAGGGAGCTGTGTTCTGCTTCACAGAGGGAATAAGAGGCTTTCTCTTACCTCTGCTGAGGGTAATCTACATGCCAAAATGCAGTGTGTGCCTGGAGGGTCCATCCCTGGAGGATGTCATCAGCCAGTACCATCACGGAGAATCATTCATAAACTCATTAGCAGAGAGCTGCCCAGGCAAACTCTGTGTGGTTATCACTGACTTCTCTGAGAGGTGGTCTTCCCTCCTCTTCCTCACTGTTGCTTCTTCAGTAGCTCTGAGTCTGTTCAGTGTCTGGTTTTGTGCTGTTCTGAGATGTGTTGGGTGTGATATTTGATAAAGGAGAGAAAACTGTACTCAAATGTACACAAGACTTGGGAGATTTCAGCAGTTCTTGGACACCATGAGACTGATAATCCACAACCAGTTCTACATGTACATTTGATTTACTCTGTCAGACAGCAGTGTAATTCTGGTGAAGATTTGTTTAGACATAAAGGCAGAAATATTTTCAATCACCTACTTGAGAACTGAGAGGTTTTTAGGGTTTTCAGTAGCTAATGTGCATAGACAGAGGCATTTAGTAAAGCAAATAACAAAAATAGTAAATTGCTTTTCATTGTCAAAAATATGTTCCTAAAAATTTTCCTTGTATTTCCTTGAAAAAGATTAGTCTCAGCTCAGAACCTAGTCCTGAAAGGACCTGCAAAATTGAAATTAAAGAGTCGTATTGAAATCACCTCTGCTAAGACAAAATGCAGCACTGAAGGAGATATGAATGCAATCTTAAGATTTTTATTTAAGATACATTTGCTGTGTTGTGACAAAAGTCTATTTAACATGGAGTGAAAACTTTTGTTGCTGAATTCTGTTCTCTAAAAAGTGGCCCCATTGATACACTGACAAAAGATTATATCTCTGATATTTCTTCCACATGAAGTCTGAAAGCACACACTGAACTCTCCCTTCAGCAGCCTGGTACTTACACTCTGTAGTTCAAGGCAAGATCAGCAAAGAATGCCCTCCGTTTCTTATACTCCAGGTCAGCATACCCCTGAGTTAGAAAATAATTTGAAAAAAATTTTACATTAAGAGAGATTTGTGGTCATAAATAAATGTGCTAACAGAGGCACTCAGAAAAACTAGGCCTCAAATAGGTTGTTTTCTGAGGCAATGAATCTTGAGCCTTATGAACAGGGTAAGCCAAAGTCTGCAGTCAGTTTTATCTGTGACATTTTGAAAATTTGTGGGCTGTGACTTATATAAACACTTCATTGCAGAATCACACACTTACCATCACACACTTACCATCAAATTTAGATGCAAATCACATTAAAAATGGGATAGAAAGAGGGCTATTGCTTACACTGGGGAAGAGTTGAATCTGAATCACTTCTTTCCTTCGCTAAGCACGAAGGTTGCAATATCTGGCTGTGATGGACACAATGGCACCAAGCCTATCCAACTTGCCAGAGAAGGTACACTGCCCCTGCACGATACCCTGTGCTTTGGGCAAAGAACAGGCCCTCACTGGCTAGAAATCACTGAAACCACCACTGGGTCTGTAGGAAGTACAGGCTGAGCACTCAATTCCCCCTTGCCCATTTATTACTATGTTACGATAAAGAGGGATTCAGTGGTATCTGTTTAAAGGGGAAGTTTACCCATCAAACACCAGAGTTTTCTTTCTGCCTCTTCCGTGTTTACTAGAAGTTAAATTTCAAGCAATCTTTGCCAGCTATTGAATATGAACAGAGCTGTGGAATCATGTTCCTTTTAACTTTACATCATTCATAATAGGAATTAAATCTGAAATCTGGAACTGTATACTAATATAACTCATAAAACAGCGTTGTTCAGCATCACTGTGCAAATATTTATTATCCTAAAATATTCAGAATTTACTGGAATCACTTTTCATACTACAAGCCAAATATGTCCCCTAGGTTCATTCACATAATTTTCAGTGCAGCAATAATACCAGTAACACTGCAGTTAATGAGTATTGTGTGCGTGAATCTGAGGAAAGAGCTGGATCCTGAGAGTACGTTTATTTTGTCATGTGTTAGGGATAATGTGTTCATTCAGATGCCACTGTAACAAGTCCATTCAAAACACATGAAAAGCCATTGGGACAGACTCACATAGATGCTGTGACATATCAGCTTTGCCCCTGCTGTTCCAAGGGCTCTGTACCCGCCCTCTGAACAGCAGGAGCCTCTCTGGGAGGCCACTGCAGCCACTATCAGGGTGCCCCAGGGACTGGTGTCACAGTGACATCAGTTTGATTTTTTGACCATTAAAGAGAAAGTAAGAAAAGAAATTATGAACCCGTTGGATATAGACAGCCCAAAATGTGTATTTGATAGTAAATGTATATGCAAAATCTTTGCTGAGCTACCTTTACCTCAGCTTATTTGATACTTTCCTCCAACCTGTCCATTTTTGAGCCTTGCTCAGAAGCACAGTAAATCAGCCCACGTTGTGTTCTCTCCTTCCACAGACAAGTGGTGTTCAGTGCCTGAGGTAACTTGTTTCAACTTAAGGATTTCTAAATTGCACTGCGTTCTGCAGATTTATCCCCAGTCAATATTTTGTTAACTCTGCACCACTGCTGCTTTCTCTCATCTTCTTCAGAGCTCATACCTTCTCTTTGGCAAAGTAAGAGGGGAACTTAGTCCAGTTCAAAGAATTCTCAATATGTGTTCATTTATCTAATGAGAAACAGCCTCAGAGCTAGCTCAGGAAAATTACAAATACTTAGACTGTTTCAGAAAGATATGAGGAAGAATGAAAGATGTCCTGGTTAAGGAGGTTATGAAGCTCTCCCAGAGAATTATAGTGTAAAAAGTGATTCTCAAAAATAGAAGAGACACTTGTAGACTTGAAAAGGGGGTTTTTTTGTGATACACATTACTGTACATAATTCACAACATAACATTGTGTATGTTAACAATAGCACCTAAATAGAATTCAGACATATAGAGAAGGGAATGACAAAATCTGTCTTGTAGATTCTGTTGACACCCATCTAAATTTTTCCCACATTTTTCAGTGCAAAATATGTGCTCTTTTTCTTTGTCATGCATCACTTCTATGTGATGCTTGACAGAACACAACACTTCTGGACCTACCTTGTCAATCTGCAAATGGCCTTTTGGAGCCTGTTTTGTGTCTGCATCTAACTCATATCTCATCTGTACTAAAGCTTGAAAACTTTGATGAGAAACAAATGTTTGTTTGTTTGTTAGTTTGTTCCCAGTATTTTGCCTTACTATTATTATCACTAGAGCAGGACTCTACAGTGCATTTTTCCTCTTCCTTCTCTTAGAGTCTGTGCTTATGATGAGGCTAAGAGTACACACATAAAGCTTGTCAGTAAAACCTTTTTCATGGTCCATTCATGTAGGGTCTCATACAGTCTCTAAATTTACTGAAGATCAGCCTTCACTGGCCCTTTATTTTTTCTGTTCTTTCATGGGTATTTCTTTACTCCTGAAATTTTCCTTACAAAAATCTCTCTACAGAGAACTTCTCTTTTAAAAATGAAATTACAGTAATGTTTAACTTACAGGATGACCATGGTCCAAACTGGGATCATACTTAGTGATCAGATGGTGACACTTGTCCAGATCTTGGATTTTTCTGGGGAACCAGGGTACTGGAGAAAAAGCAGGGAGAGTTAAATGAGATAGGATCAAATAATTTTTAAAAGACACAGAAAATAAAAGTTGTGCTGAAGATTACAAATTTTCTTTTCAGCAATATCTAAGAATATTCATATTTACATGTCACCATAGTCGTCATACATGTCACTAGCTGACTTTGTTTGCAGACCAAAGCAGTAGACTGGATGAAAAATTATCTGAAATTAAGTTGAAGATATTCTCTCAGTTTTACTTAGTAAATGCAATTTTTAAAGACAAAAATGGGTTTTTTAAGCAAATGTGATGTTCTGTTTGACAGAGGACAGCAAATTTATTTCTATATTTTGATCTTGTCTAAGAAGTAGTCTTACATTTTCATACCTTTGGAAATGAAACAATATTTTAAAGGGAAAACATGAAATTTCTAAAATTCCTAGAAATAAAACAGACCAAAAAGTATCCTGACTTCAAGTTTTTTCCTTTTGGCTGTTTTTTTTTTTTTTTTTAGCAACATTATTCTAGCTTTAGCTGAATTTCCAAACAGCTTCTTTCCCAGGAAGTAGGGACCTTTTCCAGTGACTAAAATAAAAATAAAGTTTGATCATTTTAACATAAGTGCCAGCATTTACAACCAACGAACTGAGAAAAGTATTGAAAAAAGACAAGGTTAATATCACTTTCTGAGGTCAGACTGAGACTGTAATAAAACTTCCTCTGTTACAGCTGAGAAAGGTCTATTTGGGGTTATCTTAACCTCATACTTCACAAAAGACCAGACATCTCTATACTTAATAGTAAATTTAATTTTTGCCATATTATATTATACCCAGGCACAACCAATTCGGAAAGGTACAAGGCTACAAATACACACTGAGGTTTGGGAAATTACAGCTCTTCCATGCATTATGGCCAATTCTGTGATAAGAAGTCAGAAATATTAGTCTGACAGATGTCTTATGTCTACCCAGAATTTTTTTTCTGAGCTTTTGTCTCTGGCTGTATCAATGGCTCTGCATGCAAGATTATAATCCTGTCATCTGTAGTCATATCTCCTCAAAACTGGCACCTGATCATATCTCCTCCATCCCATGTCCCATACACATCTTGCCTATTCCCTATGGAACTAAACATAAACACACCCTTTTGTAACTTTTCCTTCTTTTGACTGTAGTTCCTAGTCCTGGCATACCTTAAACCTTTCAAGTCACAAGGAAATCCTAAAGAAATGCTTCTCCATCTCCGCAACCCTCTTTGGCTCTCGAGTTTCCCTGATTATAATGAAGTCCTTTTGATAGCCTCCAGTCCCAAGAGTACAGCTTGCCATGGGCTACATCTTACCACTAGCCTGAAGTTGAATTTCAAACACCCAAAGATGCCCAAACAAGTCTGTATTAGTCAAAAGCACTCTGGGAATATCTGTCTGGCCTTGTCAAGGACGGGAAAAACCATACTAATTCTATATTCAGAAAACTCAACTTGTGAGCTGAACCCTCAGCCTTCTCATCTGCCAGGGACACCTCTGTCATCCTCAGAATTGTATTCAAGGTCTCTTATCAGCTTGTTGTACTTACCCATCCTCTGCCTGCCTGTAAACAGGAAAAATGCCCGTCTACCTCTGGCAAACTCAACACCCTGATGACTGGTAGGGATAGTGGCTTAATAGACCACAGGCAGTGCAGTAACCACTTGTTACTCCAGCACTCTGCCAGATGAAATACTGTTCCTGAAGTGTAACCTGCGAAGCTGCACAACCTCCAAACCTCCAAGCTTTTCATGTGCCTGGGAAAATGCCTGATGCTCTGTTACTACAGATATGGCAGCAGGGCTGTTCTCTTCAAGAAACTCTTTCCTTGATTCTCCCAGCCTGACCGGTACCTTCTGGTACCTGGCCAGACTTTCTGTTGGCCCTTTCCCTTTTGCATTCTACAAGCTTCTCACAGTTTGTTGCATTTAGGTCTTTCCAGTGAAGAAACAATGTGCCTCCAGACAGTCCTACTGGACACAGACAGCAGTAGCCAGGACACCATAAACAGGCATAAACTATTTTATCAAAACCAATGCAATACACTACAAGCAAATGAAACATTCAGACCCTTTGCTATGTCATTGCATCCCCATCAAGTGTATATGTCTGCCTTGAAGCAATCAGTTCTCTGCACACAATCTCTCTCACACGATCTCTGCAATCTCTCTGCACAATACCTCTCAGTTCTCAGCACACAATCTTCCTGTCATTGAGGAGTTTCTCGTTTCTCTTCAGCTTTTTGATTGGCTGCTCTCTCCTTCTCATCTCCCTTTTCACTGAAACACTTTTCTCACCTCAGTTCCACTGGCTAGGATGAAGTACCTCTAATTCTGCACCAATGGGAATGGAAAATAGTCATGCAGGGACAAAAAATGAATGTGCACTCACCTGCTTACCAGACAAATTAAATTACTATTATGAAGAGGAAGCTAAATCTAAACAACTTCATCCAAAAGAATGACACTAACAGATGCATACATTTCTTACCTTTGTCTTCTCTGCTAGTTTTCACATCCTCTGCTACTCTCTTTAAGGAGGTGATAAGAATACTAACATCAGCACTGTGAACTTCACATTCAATGAAAATGTCAAGATCATCAGCAGACTTCTTGGGCTTTTTGGCTCGCCGGGTTTCAAAATGATAGATCTGAGTTTCAAACACCTGCAAGAGACAAATGTTCATATGATGAAGCTTCTCCAAATCCAGGTAAGTCTACATACGTTTCTATGATGTCTTTAAAAGGTGACTAAAAGAGGTATTAACAAGAAGTACACGTTAAGCAAAGAAGTCCAATAATATCTGGTTTAGAAAGAGCTAAAATACAGGCAGGGCTAAAAATTAGACACTGTAGAGTTGGGTAGAGACAGATGGAGATGAAAGATGAGATACTGTTGGCTGTAGAATTTTATCTGTGCTGAAATAACAAAGGAGTGGCTGGGTAACTCTTAAAACCCTCACAGCATGAAAGCAGATCTATTGATGCATAATAACACCATAATCATTAAATAATGGTGAACTATTAAAAATAAGTAACAAATACAATACTTTTCTTTTGAGTTATTCAGTTTCCCAAATGAGAGTGAGCACCTGGTAGGGGTACTTCAGCTGCCCAGACTACATAATGCCTATGTGGTTTACAGCTTCTGTATTCTTTGTATCTCCTGCCAAATATGCAGAGAAAATTCACTGGCTTCTAACATCCCCATAGCGCACCCCTCTGCCGGCCACCACAACTGCTAGAAAGAAATAATAGATTGGTATGTCCTCTAAACCACCCTTACATAAAATGTTGATTCTTCTAAAGGACAGTGCCCAGATACTCCCTCCCTCCAGAGCACTCTCCCTCTTCACCCATGAGACCAGAAAACTCTTAGCAGCTGTAGCAAAACCAGGACAATGAGAAAAGGGGGAAGGCAGGACAAGGAATAAGTCATGCAGGAAGCAGAAGGGTGAGAGACGGAGAGATGCAGAGTGGGAGACGTGAAAGCAATAGAAGCAGAAGAGAGGGCTCAGTGAAGGAAGGGAATGATGATGTCTGTACCTCAAAGACTTTGGCTGCCCTAGAGAGCTCAATCTTCCTCACATTGCAGAGAGTGAGGGTCAGGATGAGAGTGGCTCTGTCATCCTCCCTGTTTGAGTCCAGGCTGCCTTGGCTGTTCAATGACTCTATGCCACACATCTCCTTCTCCTTGATGGCCTCTTCTTTCAGGCCTGAAATGCCCACCAAGTCAGTCTTCACTGGGAGATAGGTGAGTGGATTGTAATTGCCAGATGTTAAGTGGAAACTGCCTGAGGGTGTGAATGCTTCTCCCAGAGAAATAGCCTGGGGAATTGGTGGGACTGGAGATGCAGTGTCTATGTGGGTGGTGAGATCAGAGCTGCCAGACAGCAGTGAGGCACGCTGACTGCTACTGTGTTAGGTGTAGGGACATTTATGTTGGCCATGCCAGACACATCAAGGGAAACCGCCTGTGTAGGATGTGCGCAAGAGCACAGGATAACCCTCCTCCCCTGGGTAGCTTCAAAGAGCGGTCCTCCTGCTCTGATTGAAGGTGTCTGCAAGCTGTTCAACCCTGGAGATGGGCTTCTTTGTGGAGAGGCAATTAGACTGAGCTCCATTTACATCTCCCAGTCCAGACTGCCCTGCACAATGTATCTGAGATTGTCCTTCCATCCCACTCTCTCTTACCTCACTGGAACCCTGTCTGCATGGTCCATATCTCCAGTGAAAAAATGTGCTCTTCCCCCAAACCCTAGCCCAATTGAAGTGTTGTCACCTCTGCACTGACACAATTGTGGAAGTGATAGACAGACCTCAGCCAGGGTCAGAGTTCATTGCCTACTTTCGAGCTTTTCTTGCCCTCAGGATGTGAACTTTTTCTACCTTAGCCCTACAAGAGATAAGCGCTGCCTCCAGGCTAAGTACCCCTGTTGGAACTTTTTTCTGTCATGACTTTACCTCCAGAGAAATAGACTCTCAAAAAGACCAGGGTCACATCTTTCTCACAGGTGGTAGGGCAAACTCTAGGGGGATTCAGCTCTGCTCCCAACAGGGCACGTCTTCCCTTCCCTAACACTTGACATCAACAAACCTGCTTCTGGATATGAGTACCCATATCTTCACACTCCAAGTTACAGTGTGCTAGACCTCCTGTGAAAATCATCTTGCAGGTCCAGAGATAAGACCACACCTCTGTCCTCCCTTTGAGATGGAGTAATGTTTTATGTGCTCCCTAGTTTATCCTGGCTTGGTCAACCTCCCAAGTGCTATAGTGCTCTTGCCTCCTCCCTGGCCAAGGAAGATAAAGAGTATAACAAAATTCTGTTCTCCAGGGACCATGACAGCACTATGTTTCCCCTCGACCCAAGACAGAGCACTGGGAAGGTCTTGATTTCCCTATCTGTTGCCCAGATGACAGGCAAACCCAAAGTGAAATTCGCAGCACTGTGCCCAGGAGGCACATCTCATCATCCTGAGAAACACCCTTGGGCACTGTGGCTTTTGCAGGGTGTGGTGAGCGCCAGCCTGGGAGGGGGTTGAAAAGCAGCTGCAAACTGAATGAGTTGGACAGAGAAGAACTGGGCTTTGAGAGGGGAAAAAGGTTCTTCTCACTCCCATGTTCCCCCAGCAGTGGTGGCAAGGCTGGGCACAGGAGAAGAAACTGAGCTGAGCCTGATTATCTGAGTTAAAACTGGGCCTTTCTCATAAAGGGTGGGTACATGCATCCCACATCCAGATCACAGGCATGGCACAAACAGCAAATGGCACAAGGTCTTCTATTCCAGCTCCATGTGGACACATGGGCAAAAGCCCTAGGGCTCAAGATGTGTGTTTAAGGCACTGGTCACAAATTCTGTCAGAGCAGGGACATCAGGCTCCTGTGGCTGTCTTTATGCTCTAGTGTCAGAGTCCCATGCCTGTATGTTTGCACAGCACTAATCAGGTTTTGCTTACAAATTGAGGTTTCTCTATAGAGGTAGACTGGACTCATCAGCCAGAGTGGCAGCTGGAGCAGCACAGCTTATGACACAGCTTTGTATCCCTCTGTAGAAATAGGACAGAGAGGCCTGGCTCTCCGGGTGGTGAAAAGTCCTTGCCCAACCAGTGGACATCCCAATAACACCTCAAATCTGTGCCTTGAACAGGTCTTGGAAGACCTCACCAGCAATGTAACTCAGCTTACCAGAGTTCATTTGTCAGCATTCTTGGGGACCTCTAGGAGTGCAGGAGAAGAGGTCTCAGGCTGGATACTGCAGTTTAGAGGGCTATAGATGGACTGGAGTACAGTGTGTCATCCTTTCCCGTGGGGACAGGCAGCTTCTCTTTGCAGAAGGTGAAACTGTCTCACCCCAAGAGTAGGCTCACCCTCTTTCATGAACACCTGAGTGGGTTCTTTAAAAGGCCATGTCTGATCAGCACAGATTACCTATATGTTTTTCACCTGTTACCATTGCAGATATATCCACCCTGTATGAGCAGACTGCCACTCATTTGAAACAGATGCAGCATTAATATTTCTGTTTATTTAGATAAATTCACATAGTTACATTTGAACATCATCTCTGACAACTGTCAGCATGGTTTGAAGCAGCAAAGAGACAGGTTTAAAAACAACACTCTACTACAGAGTGCTCCCGTGCTTAATCCCTCTTTCAATAATTTCTGCATCCTTTGCGGAATAAAGTGTCCCTTCTCCAAGCTGCTGTCAGATTTAGGCATCTTAAGACACCCAGAGGAGTCCACCTCCCTGTGTAACCTGTACCAACAAGACCCCCCTTCATCACAATCATTGACATTGGTCAAAGTCACTGTAAAGGAAAAGGGCCTCATGAAAGGGCCTCTTTGATCACCTGAAACAGCCGGAGATGGGGACATCAAGAAATGTGATCATAGTGGAACAGAACAGAGGAAGTGTTACTTAAATAATTAGCTTTGGATAGGTTAGTTAGAGTAACATTCAAAGATTTATGGAGTACAAATATAGAGCAAGCTAGGCTTTGTTGTGTGTTTCTAGGTAATTGCACACATTAAGAGAGGGTTTTTTTGTTTACATAATTTTCATGATCTTTCCGGATGAGTGATAGTCAAACAGCGCAAGAGAGCCTTTTTGTGTGTTGGAGCACACCTCAGGTGGGCATTCCCTCCTACCTGGGTATTTAATTCTGACTGACTTGTGTGGTTACTTTACAAGGTGGAATTACACTGGTCAGATAATGCAAAAGGCATTTTTCTACACAGCTTTAATTTTCTTTAAGCATGGAAATAAGAAGTCACCCATTAAGGAGTACTATTTAAAGAACGTATGCACAAGTTAATTTGTTCTGTGAGAAAATCTGCTTTCTGTACATTTCCTCTGCTTTTTAAATACTGAACATTTAACTTTTTCTCATCTCTCAATCTTGCTGAACAGCCATGTTATGCTGCTTTGGCTGGAGCTATTGATCATTTAAACCTGCATTAAGGGACACAGAATCAGATGTGGCATCAATATTCTTTAACTATTCTGCTTGCACATAAAAGACAATCATGAATCTTGGGTTTTCAGTATCACTATAGATCTACTGCTGCTATCACTCATAACAACAGCCAGAAGCAGAGAAGCTTGGAAAGCTGTCTGAGGTTAGTTTGAAAGTCTTTACCTGTGGGATGAAATTGTCTCTTTGTGGCATACAATTACCTTATGGGTCCTCTTATATTAAAAGAGAAAAATGTGGGCTACTTTCACACTGAAAATACACGTCAAGCAGGATTGAAAAATCTATACAGACATTGTCATGAGAAAAAAAAGGAATAAAAAAGATACAGAGATAAAAAAGGTTACTTCAAAGCATCAAAATTATACTATTTTGCATAAGTATATGTCAATTGAAAAGGGTTCCAGCTGGTATACTTAGACTGATATTATTACACACCATAAATATAATGAAAACAGCTGTACTTTCTATCTTCCTAAAGGATGATGCTCACATTGAAGCTCTATTGATTTTCAAACTACAAATACAAAACAAGTACAATGGAAGGTATGAGACTCATGGACTTTCAAATCCCTCTCCATCTTTGAATCTTCTAACAGAAATGTGACCCTTGATTTGCGTTAGTATCATGATGCAGAAATGTTTCAAGCGAAAAATACTGTTCAGTTTTGCTTTGCTCCATTCTGTTCCAACTTACAAGTGCTGATCTCCCTCCTTCAACTAGGGAGCTACAAGGACACATTACACAATGTAGACCAGTTCAAGAAGTCTTTTAGCTGATTTGAGCGAAAGTTATTGGATAAATGCAGAAATGGCTTCCTGAACAGCAAAGATCTTCTCTCTCCATGCTCAGCCATTGGGTTAAGCTGAAATCACCTCTGGTTCTGTTTGCTGACTCAGCTGAGATGTACTCCAGGAAAAATAAAACCGCTTTCACCAACAAAAGGGAGATTAAAGCTCAAATGGGAGATTAAGATTCAAAAAGGTGTCATGACTTAGGACCTGTCTTGAAAAATGGCATTTGGGTTTGAATGCAGTCAGACTAGGAAACAAGTAACCCAGGTTTTCCATGGTTTTGGTGGGGACCCTAGTGAAAGAACCACTTCTTCTCCATTTCCAGTGTGCTGGTATCAGCATGCTGGTAATCTACCTTCTAGATTGTGAGTCCAGAAAGTTAGGAGGCACCTCATACTGAATAAGGCAGTCTCAGAGAAGGACAGACACAGCAAAAGGTAACCTTCACAGTCAGCCTTCCACAGTGAGTAGTTGAGTATGTCTATTAAGAGAGATCTCTCCTTTCCATAAAATTACTGTTCCTGAATCAGCTCTGAATTCATAATATTGCACAACATTACAGACAGCACAGCTCTGAGACTGGACTAGTAATGAAGCCCTGTTAAAACACCTGCACGGTTTCTTCCTTGCACAGAACTGACCTCACATCCAACTGCAAAAAGCCACACAGAGTTGCCTTTAGGTAACTCCCCTCCGAAGGGGCTTTTTTTTGTGGATACTGTATGGAGGCACAGACTGTTCTGGATAAGCAGGCTCAGTGGCTTGCATATGGATTCCACTCTGCAGACCAATGACACATCATAGCATGCAGTATTCTTGACTTGCACAGATCTTTTGAGATTGGTGCTTGTGTAAATACAGTATATTTATACTAGCTGATAAATCTTTGTTAATGAGACTGCACCATATTTATTATCTTTTCTGCTAGCATCTGTGCTTTGGATCAATGGCAATATCATATTTTTAGAAAAAAAAATTCAGGATAGAGGTGTTTGTGTGTGGAAGTAAAATTACAGAGGGCCAAGCAGAACATGTATATGCCCTGAAAGGTATAGAGTTTGAGACTCCATGGGAACCTTGGACAAATGTGAGGAACTGAGGGGAGAGTGATTGTGAGAGAAAGCGAAGAGGATTAGTTTGTTCATCACTGACATCCTGTCCCTGGTCCCAGAGTGGTAATGCAATCTCACAGGTGCAGCAGACTACAGATCTGCATGGTGAAGATCTCCTTCGGCTAATCTTTGGAACAAGACATATGGAGGCTTTCCCCGGATTCCCAGAAATAAGGTAATTTTTATGCATTAGTGAGAAAAAATGGATTAGTGTCTGAAGGCCAAAAAAGTCAAGGGTCACCTGCAGATGCCTATATCTCTGCTAATCTATAATAATTAAGATACATAACATAAGCATTCATGCAGTACACTGGAATATAACAGACTGAGGCTAGA